TATGGCAACAAAGTGCACACAACATATCTTCATCTACACCATCCTGAAAAATATATTGCACAAAAACAACTCATTGTTGCTGTGTTGTCACCATCAGCAGACTATTCAACCTACATTGAGCACTAAGTGACTCATTAATCCTCTCTAAATATGGTACGTCAATATCCTCTGCTACTCATCAATTTGTCTATAAATGATGCTAGCCAGATGAAGAACACATGCCATCAATTGAACTGCAGTCTGACCTAAACGTTCCTGACAAATGTCTTCAGCGGCAGGCAGAATCAACTCTTTACCAATAGCAAAGGGCTTCTTTCTCAGGTTTAGTAATGTGGTCTGTCACTGAGAATGATGCTCTCAGCACAGACACATTTGATGAAGTGGTTCCTTCTGCAATTAAATTTCTTTTTCATGTTCATACTTTTTCTTTTGAAGAATTCCAAACACTTGTTCATAAATTTAGTGTGTTTGGATTCCATGTGGCAAAGCAATTTTGAAGTTTTCATAGCTTAGTTTTATAGCTGGTCAGCACATATTATACAAAATGGGCTTGGAGAATATAATTCACTTCTTTCAATGAAGCCATAATGTAAACAGGATTCTTGGTATTTACTTTTAAATGCAGCTTTCTGTCTGTTAGCAGTCTTAGAGTCTTATGCTGTCTCATCATTGAATCTTTCTCCCTTTTAAATAAGTTGTATCATGACTTTGTTTTGTATTTACCATAGCCAGGGTTAGCTTGTGAGCTTATCTAAACTGTGTCTGGGACAAGTGCATAGTTCATGAAAAAAACACAGTTGAAGGTGGTAAATAAAATGTGAGCCATGCATAGATACCAAAAGTGTTGGATTTGAATTAAGGTCTGCCAGCAGGTACAACTGAAGGATATGAACTCACAGCCTCTAAAGTCTGACACCACATGCAATTTAATTGCCACTTACTGGTAGGGTTTTGATCTGAATCTGCAAGCATTTGATTTATCATGGTCTCTGCAGTCAAATGTCTGTGCTAACATTCATCTGTATTTGCAGCTGCTACCCAGAGCTAGCATCACCCCCCCCCAGCTCCTCCTCATATCACCAGGCTTTATATTCCCACAGGAAGCAGGCAAATCAGATCCCTCACACATGAACTGCACAGTAGGGTTCATTCTCCAAAGAGAATCGAATGCCATGCTGATCTGATAGGAGCCAGAGCTCTGGTAGTCATGGCAGAGACGGTGAGCACTGTAGACACAGATGAAGCTTCAATCACTCCCATGCTGTGCACCTCCTTTTGTCCAGCTTGGCTCCTAACAGACCATGGGGTGGTTCATGTCTGCAGTTTCAGGGTTAGGGACCTCTTCCATGTGTGATGTTGTGAGATTCATCCATGTTGTAGTTCTGAGAATTTCCTACTAATTTAAAGTTAGAGTATATTTGTCTTTTATGTAATAATTACATTTTGCTTATGCATTCATCTGTCAGTGCAGCTGTGTAAGCTTTCCTATATTTGTTACTGTGAGTAGTGCTCCTGTGATCATTGGTGCCCAAATGCCTCTGCAGGACTCTTCTCTCAATACTTTTGAGGACATAATTAGAAGTAGAGTTCCTGGGCCATATGTTGTTTAATTTGTGTCTGTTTTTGCTATGTTCTATCCCAACTGCACCATTTTACATTCTCACCACTGTGCCTGAGGCCTCCAATATTTCTCGTTTTCACCAATGCTGTTATTTCATGTTAATGACATTTATAAGGAGAAGGCTCCCTATTGTCCTTACTGAAGATTGTTTGGATGTGAAAAGTCACCCTCGCTCTTGCTATTTTCATTTTCTACTCTTTTTGTTTGATCTTTTGGGTGATTTTATGGATTGTGTGAGTCTGCTTGTGCACATGCTTCTGGTAGTTCTTGAATTTCTTGAATGTTAATATTCTCACTCTTCATTATCTCAGAAAGTTGAGTGCTAGGTTTTCCTCAAATGTTCCCCTGTCCTTTCTCTCATTTTGGGCTCCCCCCTAATGCCAGGTTGGTCTGGATC